TGATGGTTTTGGGATGGGGATTGATAAGATTCAAGCCCATCCCACCGTGTCCAATTTCATTTCTATTTCCCTCAAACTACTTTCATCTCAATCGATCTCCTTGACTGCCAAAATACTGAACAGATTTGTATCCACAAATTGACTCCTACATCTCACCTTCCAGATTCAAAAATTGAACTCGACATCAATCATTAATCAATGGGTCGACCACCAAAATCAAGTTCACAAGCTGCCAAGCCTCAAGCCAAGTGGACTGAAGCTCAAACTACTTGACTTGCTTCTAGATGGTAATCAAGACAATGATCAATCCGATAACAACTTTCCACCAACTGTGTGGGTCAAAGCTTGCACAGATTTAAATGATACATATGAACTCGACCTCAGTATCACTCAACTCAAAAACCATTTTGCTACCGTAAGCTATCTCATGTTTTTCTCTATCGCTTCTCAAAGCATCTACATCAACTGATCAATTTGTCATGCTTTTGGACAGCTCAAGCGACACTATGGTCTTATGCGTGAGCTTAAAGAAGGATCTGGTTTGGGCTGGAACGAAGCAAAACAGAATGTTGAGGGAGATGAAGAGTTCTGGATTGGTTGGATTGTGGTAGGTCATCTCAACTGATCTCTCTCAACAATCATCATTTCTTCATCTCACACTCGGTTACAGGGACATCCAGGATCCCAGATCTTCAAGGATCATGGATTTCAGTACTACACGCCAATGAATTATCTTTTAGGCTTGACCCCAATCTCCTGTGCTAATCAAACGGGAACCAGTACACAGAAGAGGAAGCGCAAACATGACCTGGCTGCCTCAGAGGAGGCACTGGATAACAGCAAAAATGAGCCTGTTGGTGGAGGTGAGAAAGGCAAAGTTATCGATTGAGCAGGTAAGTACCTTTTCTTCAGAAACAACTTCAAAACCTCACTGATTTTTCTACTCCATCACAGCTGACCCCCCTGAATCCGAGGATGACAATCTCCCACTCCCACCTCCACTCCCACCCAGACCTCTTGGCCCATCTGGCACCTCTAATCCACCAATTCACTCCACTACATCGGATCAATTAGCCACCTCAAAGGCTGATCGCTCTGCAGCTTCGACTTCAAAGAAACCCTTCACCTCATCTACTCATGTTCCCAACCTCAAACCCACATCTACATCATCATCTAAGCCAAGTGGATCTTATAAGCCACCGGTGAATCTGGCAACTTCACTCAAGCAAATTACCGAGAACTCAGCGCTCAAGTCTGAAGCTTTGATTGAAAAAGAAAATAGAAAAGATACCCGAGCCAAGGCCCTTGTCGAAGCAGCTCGAATCAAGAGAGAGGCTCTCCACCCTCCACCTCCTCAACGATATCAACCTCAGGCTATGGCGCGCTTCAATGAACACAGTCAAGAGAGGTTCCCAGCTGTCTCTGATCGTATGGCTGCAGCTAAGATCTTAAGAAATGAAGAAAATGCTGAATTCTTTTTAGAATTAGAAGATGATCTTTGCTTTACATTTTTGCAAGAGACAATTAATGAAGAGAAGAAGAAAGATCAACAAGCTATATAAAGGTATGCTTTTAAAATGTTTCCAACTCTTGTGATGAAATGTTGTTTGAAAACTAACCTGATGGAAATTGATTTCTTTGTTCAAATGTTACAGTTTGGAATCAATCAATCCTCAAAGGGTAAGATTTTTCAATTCAATATCGATCATCATCAATATCGATCATCATCAAAAGAGATCATTCAATACCTAATAGAAGATCTGGTTCAATCAAAACACACACTCAACTATCCTAGCTCGATTCTCACCAACATCAATCATTTCAAACTGACTAACTTACCCAATCAATTCAGCCCGTTCTGTTACATCAATCCAACTCATCTCAAAACTATTTCATTAAATCCATCCTATCAAACTCAATCATCACGTCACTTTCATAATCCAAGTCATTGTTGCAAAAGTATTGTTTTACAAAAGAATTGTTTAAATCTAGTTATTGTTCTACAAAAGTATCGTTTACAAAAGTTTTGTTTTGAAAGTAGTTGTTGTTTCAAGAGCCACTATTGTTTCACAAAATTATCTTTTAAAAGTAGTAATGTTTAAAAGTTGCTGTATCTCAAAGTTACCGTTTTTTAATTCTACTGTTCATCATCAATAGTATATGCCATACATTCTGTTTTTCTTTGAAGTGAAATCAAAAAACACATCTTATAGTGAATAAACACAATTGAGTTTGCCTAAACACAATGAGGATGTAATAGGTAATCATTCCACATTGCCATAGCTAAAGCATCGCGGTCTTCACTAGCATTAGCCCTCTCTGCAGCTGTTGGTGGGCGATAAGCCACCACTTGAGCCTCGTCCCATGTGAGTTGTTGTTCCCTTTCTTGTTGGTCAAATTCTTCAAAAAAAAAGTCCTCGCCACTTTGACGGATGATATTGTGAAGGACCGCTAAAGCCACAACGAGTGCCCCTTGTCTTGGGACAGGAAACCTTCGCATGTGTACCAGGGTGTTGAATCGAATCTTCAAGACTCCAAAAACACGCTCAATCACGTTACGCATACCCGAATGTTGTAAATTAAAGAGTTCTTTGTAGTCTCGAGGGCGCCGATTACCCAAGCTCCACTGCTTGAGGTGATAGCAGACACCTCTGTAAGGAGCCAAGAAGCCTTCTTGGTTGGCAAATCCAGCATCGGCAAGGTAGTATCTACCTACATGTGTAAATTTTTGTTAGAGCGATTCTAACAATGAGGTCTTGAAGAAACTTGACGTACCTGGTGGAACTAGGAAGCGTCCGTCTTGACGGGCTACCTGAAGAACACGGCTATCGTGTGCTCTGCCTTCAAATCCCGCCAGGATGAAGGTAAAGCTGCCATCAAAGTCGCAGGCAGCCAGGACATTCTGACTGAACGTTCCTTTGTGATTACGGTATGGAGCCTGGTCGGCCTCGGGAACGATGGCTTGAATATGAGTTCCATCTATAGCTCCGACACATCCTTGAAACCAGGGATACAGGATGGGAGTACTGCTGATAGATTGTGGAACCGGAGCTCCTGGATTCGGCTGGATGATCAATCGAGATTCTAGATCCTCAAGAGCTAAGAGGACCTTATTGTAATATCGTGAGATTGTTTCTCCAGAATGTTGAAACCTCTCCGAGGCCAGAGCGTTTGAGCCAGTGTTTCCAACGACAAAAAGAAATATCATTACTTGCTCCATGACAGTGACATGTTTTGTATCCTCGAGATGTCCTTCAAGATGTCTCAATAGGCCATTGAAAGCTGCTTTGTTCATTCAACATAATTCTCGGAAGCGGACTGGACTTCCATCGTAAACCTCACACGCATACATAGCGCCTGTAAGTGCGGACGTTCGACACGGAACTTTTGGGCGATTCGCTAGTTCAATACGGTCTTGAGCAGCACCGATGAGGAGCTCCATTAATTCATCATCGCTGTCAGATGAAGCTGATGATGACAAGGACGAGGAGGTCCATTGATCTTCATTGGATGAAAAGTCAGAGTCTGACATAGTTTTGGGATGAAGGTGTTAAGTTTAAAATGGCGGTCAACAGAGTTAATGATGATTGAAGTCGATCAAATCTGATCAACTTCAGCCAAACATGAATTGCATTATAAGGTACATTAGTTACAAAAATTCAAAAAAAGGAGAAAAATTGAATTAACGCATTTTGTGGCAACAAAATGCACTCGACTTTAAGGTACATTAGATTAATTAACCCCAGCCAAACGTAGCCTAATAAAACCACAGGATTACAACAGAAACTAGTTTGACTGTGGGTGTCAAGACCTCTCCACATTCTGCGAATAAGCGACGTAATGAAGCGGACCATAAAAGAAGGAAATTACCTGGTACTGGGAGTCGAACCCAGGTTACCAGGACCCGCCAGATGTCAAAACCTGGTGTCCTAACCACTAGACGATACCAGGATGCAACGAATCTCAAAAACAGAGTACTGATCCATTCAAAAAATGGATTATTCTTCGAAAATGAGGAGTCTCAAGAGCCTTGCTCCGGATAAAATCGTCCAGAAGATCTAGATGAATGTTTCAAAAAACTCATTTGATTATTACCTAACAGGATTATTGGAGTCAATGCCATTATATAAGTTGCATGCGGCTTCTTTCTGAAAGTGATTCACCATTTGTCCAAAGCTGTCTAAATTTCTGACTATGAATTATGGGCTGTTGAAGGTCCACTTCCGCATTAGCTACATAGTCCGGGTGATTGATCGCGTGGACTTTCAATTCTTGATGAACCTCGCGCTTTTAAGATGAAAACTTTTGCGAGTATCTTGCGTTGACCGACTTGAGCTTGCATGTAAAGTGTGCCTTTTGCTTGTTCTTTCGACGGCTTGTTTCTCTTTCTCCTCAGCTTTTTTGTTTATCTCGATTACTACGTGGCCTTGAATAAGCTTGGACAGGTATGCAAATTGATAGGTATAGAAATTCCTTCATCGACCTAAACAGGTGTTGCATTGATGTTGATCCGAGTGGATGGTGTAGTCGTCGGCACGATCTTCTGCTGTTATTGAATATTGCTAGTACTCGTGATTTGATGCTCGCTGTTTCGAGATGGTCATTTGATGCCACTGATCGATGGGTGAACGTCAGGAAAAAACCTCTGGACTCCTCTTGATCGGCTTGTTGCGTGATCATAACTTGCGCGATTGGATCATTTCATATTGCGTCTGGTGAATTTTGAGGGATTCATTATCAGACGATGGAATAGAGCAGGACTTCGATGTGGTGAGTTTGGGTGGCGTCGCATCCGTTCGGGTGATTTTCTGTTTTCAAAACCTAGTTGACAGAAATGTATAACAATAAACTGCATTAAGACTTGATATGCTGTTTTAATTAATACATAATGTAAACTGTGCTTTGATTTTTCTTGTCTTGATTTTGATTGTGGTGTGAACTTGAAAAGTTCTCATTGGTCTTCTTCGGCTTTCTGTTGCATAGAAGAGGTCACGAACATCATGTTCTCAACTTCACCTTTTGAGTTAATCGTCTTTCCTTGTTGCTTCGTCTTATTAGCAATCCTACCTTTCGTTTCAAACTTACGATGGCCTCAAAAACTTCGATTGACAAATTCATCACCTCGGCCTCAGTCATTCGATCAAACTATCCCTTTACCAGCTTCCACTTCTTCTTCTAACTTTTCTCAAGTTCAATCAGCTAACACAGTCGTTGAGGAATCGGTTCAAACAAAAGCCCAACCCCGTCGACTCGTTTCACATTGTGAAGATGGTCATTTGATCAATCAGCTTCAATTTTGGCGTCGTGTCAAGCTGAGCAAAATTGCCACTGGAAGTTTGATGGGAGTTTTAATTGTTTTGCGTTGTTTCGAGCTCGGATGGGACTTGGTCAATCCTCAGTCTGATCAACTATCTCAAACGGGAAGGATTCTAGAAGATATACTGGTCATCATCTTTTGGTCGATCACATGCTACGTTGTATTCAAACGTTCAGTTCCGATCACTGAAGTTGCCGCGCATTGGGCATCTATTATTCATCTAGCAACTTTGACATTTGCATATTGTGCTTGGTCATTATGCTGCCTGCTTCTACCCACCAGCGATATCAACCAACCCAACACAGGTTCTTCAAATACGCATCGTTGGCTCTCTTCGATTGATGCCGTCGTGAGCTTGGTGATCTCAGTCATCACCTGTACAATCCCACGAAGCCCTCGCATACTCTACCGATCCCCTTACGATGTTGAAGTTAAAACACACGATCTAACTCCCCCAGAACTTACATCTTGTCAATCAAGTGGCCATGAAAACACAGAGGACTTTGCTACAACCATATCTCACGACAACAAGAGTAATATCAACAAAGAGGGCAATGTCACTTTAATCGCTTGTTGTTCTGTTTTGGATCATCTATTTTTCAATTGGGTCTCGCCTGTGATGAAAGCAGGCATGAAGAAAGCTAGTTTGGAGAAAAGTGATCTACCTCATCTTTCAGCGGATTTCAGAAGTTGGAATTTATACAAGAAAGTCATTGACAATATAGCACAAGCCTCACAGAATCAGACAGGCTTGATGAAACACGTTGGAAAATCACCTCAATGGATGAATCCATTACTGTGGAGAGTCATCAAAATTAATCAAACTGCATTTATGACTCGTAAGTCAGCCTTACGCTGTCTTTGTCTCACACTGAATTGTCTACTCAAATTACCACCTGTATAACTGATGCATAACTGGTATGATGGTTATTTAAAGAGGCTGCATTGGCTCTATTGAACAGTGTTCTGTATTACGCTCCAGCTTTTTTCCTACGAAAAATCATCGAGTTTCTAGAACATAAGGATGCTTCAGGAACCAAATCAACGGCAATGGGATATACATACTGTGCTGGATTGCTGATTGCGATGTTATCAGAAAGCATTGTAAGCGGGCAGCTATGGTATATCTCTAATTCAGTACTTTGTGCACGAGTAAGAATTCAGTTGAACACTGCAATTTATGCAAAAACCTTACGAGTTAGTAACTCTGATCCTTCACTGCATCATATGTGTAATGTGAGAGCCATTGACACCTATCCCTGTGTATCTATCAGCGCAAAGACGTCACTACAGTCTCATCACCTAACGACTCCGACTCGAAAAAATCACCCGGGCAGGAAGCTTTAACAAACTCAACAACTATAAGTGATGCAAGCACTGTCGCAGAATCATCGTCAGCTCGCGTTGATACTTCTCAGATGTCAGGTGATACGACTTTGAAGAAGAAAAAAGAACCACTCAAATCTGACCCAGTTGGCTTCGGTAGCAAATCTCAAGTGTAGTCGATTCTGCTTTGTTGCTGCTGTGGGAACGTGAAGTCTGAATAGGCGTCTTTTTGAACAGGCTCAATCTTTTCACCATCGATGCGGACCGAGTTGCCGACTTTGGAATGTCGTGCTTCAGCTTGATCGACGCTCCAGCAGAAGTCCTCATAGGTACAATTTTCCTTTATGACTTGCTTGGCATTGCATCCATCGTTGGAATTGCGATTTCGATACTGTTCATCCCCCTGAACCACTACACTAGGTATGCTACACATCTTCTTTATTCATGGTTTAGTTTCGCTTACGACTGTCGAGCTATCGTCACTGATTGTCCCTGAATATCAGTAAGTGGTATGCAATGGTGCAAGACAAGCTGATGATGGCACGTGATAGACGTGTCTCACTGATGAATGAAGTACGTCTTAATCTGCTCGATACATGTTTTCTAATGTGGATGGAGAAGATCTGACTTCCTGTTCAGGTCTTGGGATCGATACGTATGATCAAATATATGGCATGGGAGAAACCATTTGAAGAAAAAATTCTGAGATCTCGTGATCACGAACTCAGTCAGTTGAGACAAAATTTCTTGCTCGAGGTCAGCTTTTGAACATAATTTCCATAGCGAGATGAATAATCACATCTTACGATAATCAATAATCTGATCTTGGGGTAATTTATATCGATCAGATCTCCTTCAATTTTATTTGGCTGGCAAGTCCCATCTTTTGCGTGCTAGTGAGCTTCCTTTGGTATACAAAGGTTGCAGGAAACGAATTAACCCCGGCTGTGGCTTTCACAAGTCTTGGTTAGTCCTATCCTACTATCCGCAGGTTGAACCAAGATCGTCAAATCTAATCGACCTTCCGTATAGCTGTATTCGCAGAGTTGAAGTTTGCTCTGAACGTGAGCTTTCCACTTTGTTGTGATAGCTGATATCATTGAAGCCTATGTGGCAGTCCGGCAAGAAAACTTACTGGCGCTCCATACGTCGATTTGATTCAGACTCTACCGGAAACTTTTATCGATGCGCTCCAGTGTCTGGTGTCACTTCACAGAATTGAGAATTATCTGGCCTCTCCTGAATGCGAAACTGACACCGAAGCACTGACGAAGCCGCTTGAAGCTTCCAAGTCGCACCTATCATTGAAAAAGCCGAGGACTTCTACAAGTTCAGCGGAAGGCCCTGATTTAAACTGTATCGCTGTCCGTAGCGCTACCATCACCTGGCCTACAGTCAATCCAGCTGATCTAGCACGAGCTGGAACCGAGTCACTCTCGCCTATGACACCATCAAGACGCAGATTCTATCTCGAGGATATCACGATTGATTTCCCACCTAAAGAGCTTACACTGATATGCGGTAGTTTGGGCAGCGGTAAAACGCTCTTATTGTTGGGTGAGTATGCCATGCTTCAACCTGATGCGATCAAAAGTTCGTCCTAATTGTTTGTTCGCCTACATACATCTTACAGCATTGCTTGGGGAAGCCGATCTACTGGCCGGACAGATTATCTGCCCACGTTCTCCACCAGATACCATTCATTATCTTACACATCTCGAGACCATCACGGAGGACGAGTGGCTGCTTCCTACTATGGCATATGCTCCGCAAAGTGCGTGGTTGCAGAATGCCAATGTCAGGACAAATATCCTCTTTGGACTGCCATATGTAAAGAAGAGGTATGAAGCGACTCTGAATGCGTGTAGCCTGGTCAGCGATCTCTTAATCCTTGAGGATGGCGATCAAACCGAGATCGGAGAAAAAGGAGTGAACTTGAGCGGTACGCAGATTCTACATTGATCCCCATTTGTTTGGATATGACTCACCAAGGTGTTGAATGTCTCTTTCTTCATTGAGCATATAGGTGGGCAGAAAGCAAGAATCTCCTTAGCCCGAGCTGTCTATTCTCGGGCATCTGCGATTTTGTTAGACGACGTCTTGAGCGCGGTGGATGCACATACCGCTAGGCATATCGTAGATCATTGTTTCAAGGGGCCACTCTTGAAAGATAGGACCATTATACTTGTCTCTCATCATGTGCAGCTTTGCGCTCCTATCGCTGGATATGTTGTCTGTTTGGAGAACGGGAACGTCGACATGGCTATCAGCGGTGTCGAATTCTTGTCTTCCAAAAAGTACAGAACACTCTCCGGGATGGACGCAGCTGACGACGAGGAGAACGTTATCACTAACAAACCTTCCCCAGCCTTGGGAAGTTCCAAACCAAAGGAACCGAGCAAATTGACTAAGCGACTGTTCAGAAATGTTGCCGCCAACGAAGTACCTCAATTCGCTGATCACAGTCCAGCCGAGTCAGCAGCCAGCTCAGTAGATGGAGATAGCGATAGTGAGAGCGAAACCGACTCGCTGAACAAACCGGCAAGAAAGTTTATTGAAGACGAGACGCGTGCAGTCGGGCATGTAGATGCTAGTGTATTCAAAATGTACCTTGGTGCTAACGCAGACGGCCTGGCAGGCACCCTCATCTTTTGGACCTCCTTTGTGGCTGTCTTCCTCGGCAACAAGATCATGGATGTTGCTGAAACTTATGTCCTCAGTCTATGGTCCAATTCAAACGATCAGGCTCCACAGCCGACGAAAACAATCTTCTCACTATTATTTCAACAGGCAAACTCTGTTGACTTTTACCTTGGTCTTTATACAGCTGTGACGTTGTTGAACGTCGTTGTATCGACAGTTAGATGGCTCGTTCTATACAACGGAGCCTTACGTGCGTCTCAAAGATTGTATAAATCTATCCTGCGAGCTGTCCTCCGCTCTCCTCTTCGCTTCTTTGATACTGTGCCTCTTGGTCGGCTGTTGAATCGGTACGCTACTATGTTGTCATCTTGTCTCGACAGAACTGACTGAGGCTTTCTCTTGTCTTTTGATTTCTACCTCGAAGGTTTGGAAAAGACTTTGAAGGAATAGATTCATCCTTACCAGACAACCTCGGTCGCTCATTGATGTATGGCTTAAATGTGGCCACGACCATATTATCGATCGCTTTCGTCACACCTACCTTTTTGATAGCATTTGCGCTCATCAGTGTATTGTATTGGTGGTATGGTCGGCAGTACACTCAGATTGCGAGAGAATTGAGAAGATTGGACAGTGTCACCAAGTCACCTTTGTTCAGTGCATATGGTGAAACAGTAGCCGGTGTAGCTGTAATCAGAGCATTTGGTGGTTGTTCTCGGGCTTTAGCTTTGGTGTTCGACCGGATTGACACCAACGTCTCATTCTACTTCTATTTGGTGAGTACATACAGCTGTCATCAGGTTGTAGTATGATTCAAAAAACCAATGCTGATGCTGTACGCCTTGGAACATGCAGTGGAGTGTTAACCGTTGGCTCTCGATTCGATTCGCACTTCTATCAAGTTTCATCGTGGGCCTTACTGGGTTCTTATTGATTAAATCAAGAGATTCAATCAGTGCATCTCTTGCAGGGTTTGCCTTAACCTTTGCGATAAATATATCAGGTGATATGATTTTACTTGTCAGAAGATTTACTGCACTTGAAATGAGCATGGTGGCAGTGGAACGAGTGAAGGAGTTTTCGGAAATGGATGCTGAAGCTCCGGAGATCATGGAGCCTAGGCCTCCAGCTCATTGGCCACATAGTGGGGAGATTGAGGTTAAGGGTAAGTTTGTGAAAATCGTCGTTGTGATCTTTGGTGGCTAGCAGTGCTGAGGTTCATCGTATCTATTTATCTATTTAATCCTGAAGAATTGACTGTCCGCTACAGCCCTACACTTCCAGATGTGCTTCATGCAGTCACATTTCATGTTCCAGCACGAGGGAAAGTAGGTATCGTGGGGGCCACTGGATGTGGAAAATCCACACTAGCGCAATCATTTTTTCGCTTCGTGGAAGCATGGGATGGGCATATAAAGATAGATGGCTTGGATATCAAGGTCAGTTCGTTGGGCTAACATTCACTATTTTTGATATTCTATACATCTTGGTGTCTACTGACTGTTGTTTGGACTACAGAACATTGGATTGTTTGACTTACGATCCCGACTGACTATCATCCCCCAAGATCCTACAATCCTTTCGGGTTCTCTGCGATCAAGTATGTATCCTTCATCATCATATGGATATTGTCGTTCGGGTATCCACTGACCGTTTTCTGATTCATTTTCACGTACCATAGCACTGGATGTGTTCGACGAACATGCTGATGCAGAGATTTATAGCGTCCTTCGACGAGTCAACCTGATTCCAGCTACTGATGCTGACGCGGACGGTCTGAATGAAAACGTGTTCAGGAACCTGTAAGTTTGGTCCTCCAATTAGTCATCCTTTTATTATCAGGATGTTTCTTTAGGTAATTAATACGTTGCTCTGTGTTGGTGGTACCCGTTCCAGAGAAACTGAAGTTTCAGAACAAGGTTCAAATTTTTCTCAGGGACAACGACAACTGTTGTGCATGGCAAGAGCTTTGCTAAAAAGATCTAAAGTTTTATTGATGGATGAAGCTGTAAGCTCCTCTTGCTAAAAATCATACCAACTCGTAGATTAGCTGATCAAGGATCAATTACTGTTGGCAGACATCGAGTATCGATAACGAAAGTGATGCACATATCAGCTTGACGATTCAGCAGGAGTTTTCTGAATCTACATTATTAGTGATAGCTCATCGACTCAGAACGGTGATCAACTTTGATGCTGTTCTGGTATTGGATCAAGGAAGGGTGGTTGAATATGGTACGATCTCAGTGCTTTTGTTTTGCTGTTGTGTCTGATGCACATCACTTAAGTTCGCTAGATGAAACTAACAAATGCTTCTGAACGACGGGCATATAGATTCACCAGCGAAATTGATTGCGAACCCTAAATCAAGGTTTCATACGCTTTGTCGCGCCGCTGGAAAGCGTGAGTTTAGAGCTCTAAAACGAATGGCAGGAAGTAATACAAGTACTCCCACAGAGGTTGCACCCACCGAGTCGTGATCCACAAAAAATCCAGTAGAGTTTTCATAATCTTGTTCGCTTGTTTCTTTTTTAGCATTTTCTTCTGTACTTTTTTGAATCATAATGTGCCCCTTTCTTAATGATGACAAGTTGATCAGATTTGATGATGAGTATTGAAGCATCGGCTTTTGGTTTATCCCCTTATAACTACTTATATGATTTACATTATTGTTTTAGAAAAGTTTTAGAAAAGTTTTGAGACTTGATAAAAATTTCATGATCTTTATGATCTGGATGATGGCTACGATTATTGCAATTCTCAAATTATTTTTACGAATCGCAATTTGAAAGAGATAGCTCAATGGTTTGTGAAATGTCACGACGAGGGTTATTCAAATCATTCCCTTATGTCACTTTAGTTTTTGACTTGTTGGTACGCTTTCATTCTTGTGATCGCCTAGTCCCCATTGCGTTGAGTCCAGCGGTGAGATCATTAAGGATGTTTTTGACAAGATTGATAGAAGTTGAAGTGATCCATGGCATACGCGAGACTGGGATTGAAAAATGTGTCAATACTTCCTTCTATGGCTTTGACTTCTGGCAGAAAAGTAGCAAAACATTAACAGTCCTATCGTTCTGATTCCGATGGATGTAAAAGCTATGATCAATAGCACCATTACAAACGCAAACTTTTAGCAGCTGATGTGCTTCAGTCTCGCAATCTCTCCGGGAGATGAGAGGGACTTTTCAACTCACAAAGGCAATGCTTCGACGATGGTTAGCCAAAATGGTGGATGCTTCGAATGCATATACCATCACCGGCAAGCTTATGGTTGCTGAGCTCAAGAAAGCTGATCCTCTTGAATCCAACGTATAAATAGCGGATACTTTGAACGGATTGGTTACCCCTCTTCAAAGTAACCCAAAATCCTTAACGTCATAACCCAAACAACATTCACATCTTCTAAAACAACTCTAACGAGCTCAAAATGCCTCACAATCACGCATCTAATTTATCCATTCGTTCTCCTATCAAGACAAATCGACCTCGTTCATCATCTTTACCAAAATCTTATGTTATGCCTGCTGGACAGACATCTTCTGAAAATGACCCGGTGTATGCCCGTTTGAAAAGAGGAATAATTCCAGCTAAGACTCGTCCACAATCTCCCTATCGAACAGAGATGCCTGAAGGATACGTGCCATTAGCTGCAATGCCAAAAAATAGACAATCTCCATTATACCCCATCTCACAAGACATTATGGATGAAGAATACGTACCATTGGCCGCAATGTCTAGAAACAATCGTCTCGCATCAATTCGAAAGGGCAAACAAACTTCTTTTCGACAAAATAATGCATCGTCAATATATAACGAAGATTCAATTCCTAATCCAACTCTGCCTGATCAACTTTCTGACTTACCTTCCCCTCCTTCCACTGGATCTTCTCACTCTTCTGACCACCTTTCAGGAATGATAAACGATTTTCCAAGTGTACCAGCACCCCAGCCAGTTCCATCGCCAACTAACTCATCCACAAGTCGTACCAGTCGTATCAGTCGTAGAGAATCCATACTTAGACAATTTCCAACCGTTCCAGCTCCACCACAAGTGGCATTACCACAATTACCAGGTAAACGTAGATACAGTTCACTTGGAAATATTGGTCAGGTTAGTGAATTACATCAAGCTCTTAACCCTGAAAACATTATGAATACTGGATATGCTCATCAACCTAAGGAGTTTGTCAAGATTGAAGATTATTATGTTGAATTGTTTTCTGAAATACCTAAAGTTAAAAGGAATTCTAGTTTTTCACTTGTTAGAAAGTTGTCTGGAAGTTTTCGTAAAATGTTTAAACATGGTAAAGATGGTAAATATTAATGAGGTTTCACGCATGTAGATAATTGTATATACTCTCATTTTGTTTCACTAGTAGATTTTTGTGTGTGTTGAATAATTTGAGATATGAAAAACTGGGTTTTTTTAATGATCAGATTCATGAGTTTCTTTCTGAGATGAGGTGTAAGCTCACACTAATCCAATGTTTGAGTATTATTCATATTATTATGACTCAATCTTTATTAATCTTCAAGAAGTCCTGCATTTTCTGATACCCGAGAGCGCCGGTTCACAGTGATTTAAATGTTGTGATTAAGCTAAAAGATATGAGGGACGTGAGATCACCCTTGTGTCAAATTTGGTATGCTTCCACACATTGATAGATATGTTTTTGGTTTGGCTGAGATGTGATTTATGATACAATTTGCAAGAGTTGATTAATGCTCTTGGAATGTGACATAGTCTATAGAGCTGTGTACACTGCTGGTCTTCTTGGTGATGGCTTCAGTTGCTTGAATGAGGGATTTGCTGAAATGCTCAATATCTGATGTGCACGTCTCTACAACTTGATGTGTCACAATTAGGGCTCCACAGTAGACAGAAGAGTTATTGATGATTGATGTGATCTGCTTGAGGAATGAAGTACATGGCATTGGTATTAAAGTCAGATATACATCATGTTCAGCAGAACAAAGCGTCAAAGTGGCGTAGAAGGCCTACGAGAGAGAGGCTCAGAGAGAGAGAGAAGCAAACATTTCGTTTGCTTCTCATGACCAGGAGGCAACTTGGTCACCAACCTTTGAAGGGAGAGGCATGTTTGAAAGGATCTCGCTTCTTTGTTTTCTATTACTAGCACTGCAACATACCCACAGTCTGAACTGCATAGAAGATCGAAAAGAAACCTGTAGATAAATCCATTTCCATGTTCAACCTCGTGGAAAAGGAATTGGATAGGAAGTCAACCCATGTGAATCATAAAAAAATTGTGATTCCTGAATGTATGCATACGCAAGGTGATCAGGCCTCCATGGACCAAAAGCCAGAGACAAATGACAAGATATCTCAAAGAGTGTATAACCAGTAACCGTCTATAACGACTGCCAAGGTTGACTAGGGGTACTCCACAACTTCAAGTCGGACACATGCTATCTTCAAAGAAGGCTTTGTCCGTTGTGTAGGATCAGTAAAAAAGTGGAAATAACTCCTCAACTCAAGGAATTTTCAAGCTGGCAAAAGGAATTGCAAAATGTAAGGTGTGGGGCGCATGAATTCACATTTGTACCATCTCTATTTTTTTCATGTTTTTGTAATGATTGGAACTGGCGTATCCAAGGTGAGCAACGTGGATTCCAACTGGAACGATGGCTCGTAAAGTGGTATAGACTTCTCTACAAGCTTGGAAAGTGTGATGGATGCTTCTCGGGAGTTTAGAATGGATGATAGGACTCTGGGGTCCTGGTTGTTTTCTTGGCGGTGAATTTAGGGACTGAGGAACGATCAGTCATCTGATTAAGCGGTTTGTCGATGTCTTTTTGAGGGGTCGATGAGAAATTGTGAAGCTTTTGAAAGTGCTTTTGATGAGCACGTTCTGTGGGTCAGTGAGAGTTCTGCAATTGATTTTCCCAAATCGACCTTTTCTCTCTCTCTCTCTGTTTGAGTTTAGATTTAATTTTCAGGAACGTGCTCAAGACTTCAACTTGATCGTTCGACTCGATTCAACCTATAAAAAGCTATCAAGACTCCAGTTCTTCAGCATGACTTTTTAATCATCAACTCCACCAACTCGATCTGATTCATTACATATTAGATTCCTATCGATCCTATACTATCCACCTCACTAGTCAATCCTTGAAGGTCAGTCAGTCAAGCTATAACCCATCATTCTATATTCTTTTCTTCAACTCAAGCTCTATAAAATGATAATGCGATCACAGACAGACCCCTCTACAAGTCCTGTGACTTGATGAGTTCAGGATGATGAACTGGTTTCGTGATTGAAGGAGTTTCATTCATCGTGTGATACTTCTCTTGACCATGCTCGATCGACTCCGAGTTTTGTATATCCACGCAGTTCTTCCAGCTAGAGGCTCTTTAGCGTTCCTCTATTACATACATCTTGTCTTTCTCAATTCTTTTTCCACTCTTGCCTTCAAGTAAACACGCTCATCATACTTACTAATCAACGCCTATTCTTATCACTTAAATAAATCACGCAAACCGCTTCATCCCCTTCAATCAATTGTCGGCCTCATCTCCATTTCGCATTGTTTTTAACCGACTGCTTTGTGGTTATTGTGGATTTATAGCAGAACTCGTAAGTCTCTTTCACTTTCCCTTTCCGGTTGATTCTCTTCTAGGCTCTTCCTCATTGGTGTTTACATATCTCAAAACTCACCAAACCCTGAAACCTTTTTGGTTTGCGTCTATTGACCCCTTGCCAAACAAATCCCCAGGTACCTTCCTCAGCATCTCAAGCGCGTCTGTTTTCGCTTTTGGAATCCCTTTGCATTGTCACTTAAACGGCTGGATCAATATTAAATACAATTACTCCCGATTAATTGCCTGGGAAGATAGGCCAATATACTGTGCAGATATTCCTGGAATCAGCCTTCAAATTGGCTCTCACTCGCAGTAATCTTTATCACTTCAGAAGGTACATAAATACTTGACCTCTCTTAGTCCAAAGTACCCTTTTCCCCCAACATCTCGTCCCTGATTACTTTCACCGCTACCTCCGCCATTCGCTTTTGAACAATCTGCCTAACTCACGAACTTCTCGTCTTTCCAGCGTTCTTTTCAAACCCCCTTTTCCACAACAACCACCTCGGCCATCTTTAGTCGTCCCCAACACCGCCATCATGTCTACTCAAGTTGATAGCACCCAAATCGATAACACAAGTTTACCCGGCTGTGCGGCCAATGACCGCTTACCGGCATGTTGGGGCCATCGCGGAGTGAGTAGACCTTTTTGCGACGCTCGCCTGACTAAACGCGCCAATACCTTACTCATCATCTCATAAACGGTGCTACTCCACAACACTTCAATTCACCATCAGGCCTCCGCCGCCTTCCCCGAAAATACTCTTTCTTCTTTTGAAGCAGCCATCAGAGATGGTGCTGAAGGAATCGAGACCGGTAAGTCTATCCCCATCATTGGAATCTACATGTCCTCTTATCGAAGATTCCTACTCAGCCCCGGTGGCTAGTATGGCAGTCTTTCCCCAATTGTCAAAAATATCATGAATATTTAATGTGACGGGATCGGAAGGAAATTTTGCACACCGCGTGGTACCACCATTTAGTACACCTGTCTCTTACTGATGTGGTTCATGGGTACTCTATCTGCAGATGTTCACGTTTCAGCAGACGGCGTGGTGTGCATGTTCCACGAGTACGCTACAAGGAGCTTCATTGACATACACGGAACTGTTGATTTACCCGATTTGTCTTGTTCGCAATAAAAAGCCCCTCTTTAGAGCGAACTACCGATGGAAAAGGCATGATTGCGGATTTGAATTATAAAGATGGAATCGAGCTGGTTCGAACATTGAAGCAGCCATTTCAAAAAATTCCGACCTTCGAGGAAACCATCGAGATGTTGATGCACGAGTCAAACCGACATGTGGTCTTGAACATTGACTGCAAAGTCTGTTTCCCTTTTTTTCGGTCTTTTTGGGAACGACAATCTCCCGCTGTGGCGTGGTCAACTGACCTTACCCCCTAACATCAAACAGCCTCAAAATGACCCAGAAAGGTTGTTCAAATTGATGAGAAGTTCGATCGACCGATACCCCAACCACGCCACCGAGCTCTCGCCACGCCTGATCCTTGGCCTTTGGCACCCCAAATTCATTATTCCTTCCATGGAGATCTTGCCCGAACTCAAGCGGGCTCACATAGGCAATTCTCCTTCAGTAGCCATGAAGTACTTCTGGAAAAATTGCGATGGCTTCAGCATGAAGTTCAGCTGCTTGGTGAACAAAGAAGGTGTCGAGTTTCGCAGAAGATGTAAAGAAGACGGGAAGGCTTTATTGGTATGGACAGTCAATGATCGAAGTGAAATGATTGAAGCGGCTAAATGGGGAGTAGACGCGATCTTGACAGACCGAACTAATTCTTACTTGCAGCTTCGTCAACAAATGCATGGTATGTTTATCCTTGACGGATCAAGTCTCACCTCTATCCTCAATGTCCTGACTTGCTTGTCTCGATTATGCAGACGATTGGAAGGCAGTCAGCTCTGAAACGACTGCACTTTTTCCCTACTCTTCCATCTACTACTCAGGAGTGGTTTCTTGGTTATCTGAGACATGGGCGTCTTACTATCTGGTAGGTTGCCTTGAATGCAATCTGTGCACTCTATTTAGCTTCTCCAACATAAGCTGATTGACCATGAAATTGAAAACTTTTAGACTCGCTCAGCTGGCCCTTTTCCGACTTTGACAGCCTCATGATCACATTCCCTTATATTTGTAATTTCATTTTGAATCTTTCATTGATCAAACCTCATGTGAAGTGTGGTACAGTTTCTATCTCAACTTCTTCCCTATATTGATTGCCCAAACTCGAACAAAAAAAAATCCTCAACCTTTAGTGAATCTTTTCGCGTTTGTTACCATTGTATGTTTTGTCCTTAAATTAGTGTTGTTGTTTTTTTGGCGGTAGTTGTTGGAAATACAGTTGTATTAGTTCAAACAATTGTGTCTTTTTGATTACGTGTTCATTTTCTTTTTTCATGCTTACAGTATTCGTATCCCACTTTACTACCATTTTCTTTTGTTTTTTTGCACTGAAAGATTGTTTACCTATATGCCGCCATGAGCTGTGCCTCATGATTTACTGTAGGTTCCCATTGAGAACTTGGACCAGTAATAGTATATCCCATCTGAACCAAGTTTGCCAACTTTTTGTCGACTTGTCTGTCCCTCTGATATGGGCTTCGCTTGCTAAGGCTTTCATAATTCAACAATGTTCTCTGTACGTCAGGCTCCGTGAACTTGACTTTAATCATCTTTCCCATGGGTAAATATTGAAATGTCATGCTCAGATTGGTGAGACCAAAATTTTGTTGTCTCATACATTTTAGAAGTTTACAGAGAGTTGTGTGGACTGTAAGAGCCATACCAAACAAATGATGCTATGTTTTTGTCTATGTGACTGCTGGTGATCTGAATTTGTGGCACAACAAAGTCATCAAGGCCATCTTGAAATTCTTGAAGCATGAAATGGTGTTGTTAATTGTTCATTACTGGCAGGTCAAAAGAATCTTAGTCCTTTCTGGAAATGATTGTGGTTGGTAACTTGTTATTAACAAAAGGGAACGTCGGATAATTCGGACTTTTTACTGTAACGGTACTGATTCTCGGTTACTTTACAGTTTATTTGGGGTCAACAGCGATGATGTCATGGTTACTTGCCAGCTGTTTACCACTACACCAGGGGGTAATGGTCCTCGGCCTCGGCCGGCTCCAGTTTCGTTCCCAAAGTTTCGGTGAATAGAACCGCTCAGGAACCGCTGGAACCGGTGTCGCCGATGCCGTTTCGGACACCGTTCCACGAACGGTTCAGGAACGAGCCCCCGTCAGCCACCGTTTGAGAACGGTGGCTGATGCGGTGGTGAGGTAGTTTCTTCGACACCGGCTGAAATCGGTGTCGAACTGAACAGTAACCGTGAGTGACTGTATGGAAATGGTCATGATGGATCAAAGATGAGCTTTTCATAACTTCTGCTTTGAGCTGGCTTGTCTTACGTTCACTTTCAGCTCTGGAATCTCATCACATTTTGTAATCCTGACATCAATTCACAAAGGAGTAGATATCCACAAACCAGCCAAGTTGTTATACAAGTTTGTGTACTGTTGGTGCCCCATCGTAACTCATCACTGACTTCACCTCATTTTGTATTATAAGAGCTTTGTGATAAATTAGTATATAGATCAATCTCCAAGCCACGATGTTTGGAATTCAAACCCGCACCTTTGTCTTGCTTTTCCTCGCTCTATCCCTGTGCTCATTTCCAATCACATCCGCTCAACTCACCAAACCAACAGCTGTCAGCGACTCAACCACGGCCACTTGCAAGGCACAATGACGGCAACAAGCCGATCACTCTGGTAAACCAACTCCTGAACATTCATTCAGAGTTCAAGTTACAATTATCAGATTGTATCGATTAGAATGGTGTGTACAACACTTGTACCTCATGCCAAATTGGTACTGAAACCCAGGGTGAGGTGTTGGCGCTTTGTGTTGATTGAAAATGAACGATAGTCGTACACTTTCTTTCTTTTGGGGGTACATCACACCAAGTCAAGAATCTGTTTGACAATCCAAAGGCATTGGAATGACTTCTACCTGATTCGATTGTCTCAGACACGGGAGGTCTTTATTAATTCAGGAGCGCTTATGGCTTTAAATGAGAATTTGTTAGATATTTTATCGCCTGCATGGTGTAGTGGTGGAGTGCTCTAGTGACCGCCGTGTCTTCATGTTTTGGGTTCGAATCCTTTTGCATGGTCAGCTTTTTGTAAACCGCTGGGCTGTGCTGTGCTTCCAGGATGTTCCAGGAACGGCTTGACCAACCGGAGGGAGCGGTTCCTCCGGTTTTGCAGGGAGAGTTCCAGGAACCGCTGGTCACGGTTCCACCCACCGTGACCAGTGGTCACGAAGGCGGTTTCCTTCCACCGCATTGTGCGGTGGTGGGAACCGCCTTCGTGACTGGAACATTGAAAACCTCTCAGAATGGTCTCGACTAAATTAAAAGTCGGACGTTTCTGAGCGGCTCCAAAAACGGTTATTGCGCGGTGCGATTTACTCCCTGGTGTAGTCCGAATTTCCCATTGAGTTCACTATCGTCAAAAAAGATTTCTTTTTCATTATCATTCACAATTATCGCTTTCTTTTTAGCGTGATCAGAACATCATATCTGTTCAAAATTTCATTGATCATCTAAAGAAACATTATTAAAAGTACATTATCATCTAAAAAAGAAATCATCGCTCTAAAAAACCGTTATCAAACAACCGTTATCTTGACAAATGAGTGACGATGGCAGTGAAGGCTTTGATTACAATTCTGCAAAAGAGGTTCATGATAAGCTTGAAGCCCTCAAAGCCGAGTATATCGCTGCAAACGGTTCTGTCAACAAATCAATGGGATGGGTTAGATCAAAATATTCCCAGATCGTCCCTTTCAACGCTCCTAACTGGTACCAGCAATGGTCTAAATTTGCTTCTGACCTTATCGAATTGGATGCAAATGAAAGCCGTCCAGTGTTTCACAATTCTACCCCAGTTCCAACTAGACCAGTGCTTTCAGCCGAAGATCCCGTCTATGTGTTTGATCTTGCGACGAATCCTGTATTCCCAGCTGACATTCTGCGCAGCCATCATTCTCAACGGCAAAAAACTCCTGACCGATCACGTCATACATCCCGCCATACATCGCGTCATCCAAGTATCAGAGAAGAAAATTCCGTTCCTATTCTTACTCAACAACAAATCGACGATGCTCAGAGAGTCAGGAACCTCTTGGATCACAAAAACCCTTCTTCAAAGAGGGGTAAAGATAAGCAGTCCAAAGATGTCGACAAAGAGTCTGATTCAGATATTTCAGAAACTGATGAGAAGTTGGCCAAGCACCAAAAGAGGTGGGATTATTTTCCTAGAACAACGGAAGGTCCTCAGTCAAAAGAACATTATACGCCAAGTGCTATTCGATTCGCAACCGCTGTGGACGGCTATGCTACGAGTTTATCACAAGCAGTTAAAGGTTTCAACAATACGGTCAAACCGCCAGATTTTCCCGATAATCTATCAAAAAAACTCTTACAAGGAAGATATATCGATCTTCGAAGAATTAAGGGAGAGTATATCCAATCTAAGAAAGGTATGGCTCCCGCTCTCACAGTGGGAGGCCAAGATAAAAAACTTGAACTTCAGAATAAAATCTTGTCTAGAGAGCTTAACGACGCCCAAGAGTGGTTTTATTATTTTGATATTCTGCAAAAGACTTATCAAGAAGCCTTCCCGAGTTGCTATAAAGATTTTGTTCAATACGCCGAATTTATTAAAGAACAACATATGTCCGACGGGACGCAAGCAGATTGGAGATGTGTCGCTAATTTTGATGCAGCTCTTCGAGGAAAGTTTGCTTCAAACAAGAACCTTTCTTTTGCTGACTGGGACCATCCTAAGCTTTCAACACTTAAGACGAAATACATGGAAGGAGCTTATAATTTCCATAGTCCAGCAGCTTCGACAAGTAATTACCAACAAAATCAACAAAATCAATTTTGCCCTCAGACATTCGAAAAATTTAATCGGAAGAGAGCGAATACGCATCCTCAAAAGTCGGTTCCAAGGACTGAAAATTCACCTCTGTTCTTTGATGCGGACCATAAACACAAAGGCACGTTTGCGATTGAAGATACCGGAGATGCCAAGGAGCCGGAACAGTTTTGTTATGAATGGAACCTTACTGGCAAGTGCAAGTACGGGAAAAACTGTCGTTGACTCCACAGATGTGTTCGTAATTTTTGGGTTTCTTGTTTTTATCAAAATTATTTATTTTATTACCTATTAAAGAGATTCTAGCGCTGTTGCTGACATTCAAGTTTATTCAGAATGTTAAAGGATGTAGAAGGGAACATTCAGGATTCCAACATGAGTGAAGAGAAATCTTCTGCTAACCGGTTGGTATTTTTTATTGTTTGTTTGAGGAGCCAGTTTCTTATTTGTGCAAGAAACTGACTTCTAAGTTTATTATTAGGATAAACTCTTCGGCATTAATTTTTGTAAACGACAAAATTTTCCCGGAGTCAGATCCAGATCAGAAGTTTTTGCAAGGTTACATTTGGGACGGTGTGAATCCTATTGGTTGTTCCCCTGCGATTGAATCAAGTCTTTACGCAAGACCTTTTCCGGATGCTCCTTCGTTGGAAGAAGATAAAGAAGCAGCTTTCATCCTTAAGCAATATCATTACATATTTAAGATTAAAACTCCTATTAAAATTGATAAGCTAGAGGCGCTTTTGGTAGATCATCCCAACCGCCCTTTTGTAGATTCGGTTCTCAAAGGTTTGAGAATAGGTTTTTGGCCAAGCTCAGATCTTCCATCGGACGAAGTCATAGAAGGTCCAAATCATATTTCATGTGAAGAACATCAAACGCTTCTTGAAGAACAATGTCAAGAAGAAATTGACAAAGGAAGATTTTCAGATGAATTTTCGACGTTGCTGTTAGGAATGAAAGTAATTCCGCTTCTCATGGTATCGAAAAAAGATTATTTAAAGATGAGGGTATGTTCTAACATGAGTGCGGGAAAGCCATCGCCTAACGATCTTATCGATAAGGACAACATTGATGTTACTTATGATTCACTGAAAACTTTCATTCCTTTTCTAATTGATATGAAGAGAGAATTTGGGGAAGTCAACTTATTTAAGTCGGACGTCGAAGGAGCTTTTAGAATGATTCCTCTTCATCTGCAATATCAAATTCGTCAGATATATCGCATCAGAAAAAAATATCGAGCGGATCTAATGCTTTGTTTTGGCTCGTCAGCTTCTCCACACATATTCTGTGGAGTATTTTCTTTAGTACTTTGGATCGCGGAGTTTGTCTTCGATATCAAATACATGAATAATATGATGGACGATGTATGGGGCGTTTGTTCAACAAGCCATCTCGTCAATTTTAAAGGCCATCGAATTCCAACACCCCAAGCAAAACTTCTTAATTTATTCGACATCTTAGGAATCCCTTGGGTTTGGAAGAAAAAATTACATGGTCCAATTATAGAAATTATAGGTCATGTCGTAGATTCAGAGAAGATGATTTTCTATCTTCATCCAGATAAAAAATTGAAACTAATTAAGACTGTTGAAGACTTTGTGGCAAAACCG